CTGTTAGAAATATCTATAGAAATTTGCAGGAGAAAATTTGTAAAAAAATTTAAAGAATAATGTAGAATAAAGTTAGTAATTATTCTATTATAATGGAATCATAAAGGTGTGAGTTACATAGTGTGATAACCAAAGAGATATTTGACAATCAAATTTCTGCCATGTAGAGTTACACAGGCAAACCGTAACAGAGATAAACGGGTAAGTTTGTTGGAACCGAACCCCACCCGTTTGACAAACAGGTTGACCCTAATCCGGAATATTTGGGTCTGGTACTCGGGTTCAAGTCGAAATTTCGGGTCGTGTCAAATATGAACTCCCCTAATTATATTTAAACATTTGGTCATCTGATGTCGCCCTTCATTCTATTTTGTTGACTTCAGAAGAACTCGGCTTGAGTTCCTTATGTTGTACGGAGGTATTATCTGGCATGTGGTATATGTAGATGTCAATAAATCAAATGTTAGATAGATTTATCAATCTGGCAGGATTGCCATTTATTTTCTTTTCTATTGAGAAAGGATTGAGTTTAAAGGTTTTAATTAAGAGTGCTGAGTTTATTTTTCTCAATATGTTTGCCTTCCTGCAATAGAACTATTGCAATGGTGATGGCTGATACATCCACTTCAACTTCTAAAGGCTTCTTGAAATTTGGGACAATTAAAAATTTGGTTTGTGCCTAATTTATTTTAAAAGTTTTTAAGGATGTGCAATTTATGGCCAGTGCAGGAGAAATTTTTTTATTTAAGATAGTTTATAATGGGTTTCATGACACAGTAAATCCGCATATGAAACAATGATAGAAATTTGGCAACCCACGGCCACGGAAGCTCCAGACTTGGAAGATGGATTTGGAGCTCCACAAATCCTAAATGGCTGCAACTTCCATTGGGTCTACTTAGATGTGATTTAAGATATGTTGGAAAGTAAACCACATAATGGAACATCCAAGGAAAAAAAAAACCCAACAAAACTGAATAGCAAGAGATTTAAAATTGCGAAAAGATCTACAGAGCTACATAACTCGAAGAAATTCACTATGAGAATGAGAGAAATTGTAAGGATCTCTATTCTCTCTCTCTCTACTTGTCTCCCTTCTCTTATCTTTTCATTTTGCACACATAATAGACAAAGGAACACTTTACAATTTAACAAAAAACACAACCCTTCAAATGAAATAAGAAAAAGAGGGATAAAAAATTGCTCAACCCGAATAGCAACAATGTGATCATGCTGGGGTTTGGAGTGTTGCAGCGCTTCACTCTGTGCCTCTAGCCCGAGTCACTATGCCAACTCTAAAGTATCGCGACTCTATGCTTTTTGCCTCCAAGTCAAGCTCTCTAATGTTTAGTGTTGGTGCGCTGCATCCTACGATGATGTAGCTCTTTAATGAATAGCACCACGCTGTTGTACGGTAAAACATTTTGCCAGCAGGCCTCCAAACCTCAAGTAGAGGGGAGTGCTGCCCCCTCGAACCCCCTCATCGAGCTGGACCGACACCTGGCAGAATTGACGTTTAAGTTAACAGTACAACCGAATTGATCGACACAATCATATTTCACACAAAACTAATAAACTAATGATGAAAGTAAAGAAACTAATGCTCACGATAGTGAATTCACCCTTGGACAAATTGAGTTATAGTTTCTGCTCACATAATATACATGAAATAAAACTGATTATCAGATATTCCAGGTGCTAAAAAAATGTTAAATGCTAAAACATCATAAAAATATACCATTCGGTGCCCCAAGAAGGATTTGAGTATCTCATTCATACCACAAATAAAGCTTCCATTCATAGAGGCCTGCACAAACTTCAAATGACATTTAACATTCGTCACCAAGGCAAAAGTGAATTTGATGGTACCCACAAAACATACCCAACTTAGACAATATGTCAGCACTCTCTAAGTAATAAGACATATTTGTTGGAGAAGATGAGGAGTAATCACCATAATGACTAAACAAGCAAGAAAGTAAATGTAGCGAAAAACAAATGACATAAGGATTTAACGTGGAAAAATACAAAATTGGGAAAAAAAATGATTGAGCCACACCACATCAAGATACACACTATGAAAATTGGGAGAAATAAGTACAAATCTCTCTTCTCTCTCACTCTATCCTTAATTCTCTTCTCACATGTACAATTTTATATGTCTACATAATCAAAATACAAGAGAAAGCCAACTAAAATAATCCCAAGGGACTCAACCCTTCATAAAACAAGGAAGAAAATCGTCCAGTTAATCTCGCAGCGTTGTCACGCCAGTTTGGGGCGCTACGACACTCAAGCCTCTGTCTTGCACTGTTGTTGCGTCGTATCTATGCTTTTGTGGCACTTTGCTCTATGTCGTTTAACGTTGGGGCACTCAGGAACATATCATCGGGGCGTTGTACTGAAGAAAAAAAAAATTGTGTGCAGAGCACCCGAACCCAAGCGGGGTAAACCCTCCGCACCCCCTAACAAATACGACAAGCTTTAAGACCCGAGACTAACGAACAATCAAATTGATCAACATAATCAGTTTCCACACATAACAATATTCTCTTATAAAAACATTAAGAAATGATACATAGTTTACTATTATTTTATTTATGGTGCGATTGCGTAGCATTCTTCAACACGAATAAAGTTGGGAGTGTGCATAGGCTAAGGTAGTACTGAATGAGTTGCTTGCAGAACATGTCATATATGATTTTTTGTGGAATGTGGTGTTCTTTACACTCATAATGTAGTGATGGAGATTTTGATAATAATGATTCCACTGTTACTTGATAGATCAATTTGGTGTTGTGTAGGTACCAGTTGGGAACGAAGTTTCATCAGACCGATGTCTGGAAATTGTTATAGCAAGGCACAAATAAAGTCTGGCATAGGTCATGAAGTTGTTGTATATCCAGCTATAGCTTACACATAACTTGAAGAAGTCTCCTTGGGTGCATTAGGAGCATGGGACTGGTTACCTCAAACATGGTTGAAAACTAAAGTATCCTTGGTAGAATTGGATTTAGGCTTCATTTGAGACAGCTTTCTTACTGTTTCTTAAAACAACGTTGCAGTACAAAAAATTTAATTTTTGTACTACAAAGCTGCTTTAAGAAACAGAAAGAAAATAGTCTCAAACGATGTCATAGTTGAAGTTGGATATGTCAATGGATTGATCTTCTTACCCTTCTACTCAGAGGAATTGGCATTGGCTAGACATTCATATAAAGTTCCCATATCGAATTCACATGGATGTCTTAAGTATTGGAACAAAAAAAAAATGTATAAGAATATTTTGGTTCAATTTATATGAGGATGAACCTCAAAATCTTTAAATTTATTTTGAAGTTGGTGTTGCATATAAAAAATATGTATTACATCAATACAAAAATAAATTTTACGCCTATCTTGACGTAGTTAGATGCTTGATTCATTAAGACACAGACATGAGGAGGAGAACGTTTTATGTCCATCTTCACAGTGAATTTATGACTTGGATAAAAAAATTTAAAGAATTTCAACAAGATTAATAAGAAATAGAATAGAAGAATAACAAAAAGCAATTTTTTTTCCGTAATAAGTTAACCCTTTTAAAAGCAAACAAGCAGAAGGAGATGAAGGAATAGGCCGCAAAAAATTAATCTAAAATGAGTAATAATTTTTGTCTAAAACATGTTATAATAATCGTGCTTAAATCATGTGTAATGTTACTATCAAACAGCATCTCAATCAATGAAATCCAATCGTTCACTGAAATTAATAATTAATCGATTCAATTAAAATCCCAACAAAAACAGCTTGGCAAGATTTTATATAAATTTAGATCTATACCTGCTCAAAATCTACCACCAAATAGCAATTTCAATCATGCCATAAAGATGCAACCAAGTAGGCCCTTATACTAACAAGTTAGAAATATGATTTATTTTGGGTTAAGTATGAGTACAGCACTCACGTATTTATGCTGAGCAGTGGACAACCTGTTTCAGAGAAGATAAGAAAAGAAATAAGGAGTTAGGGGCTCACATTTATTCCTTGTACTTCTTGAATTTGAAAATATATTGCTCCACTTAAGATCGAATGTGCTCCTCTAGTTTATTTCATGATACAAATTCCTTACAAATTATCTCTTTCCTAGAGCTTAAATTGGTATTGAAATCCAATCCGTGCCAGAAGTTATATCAAAGAAACCTGGTCATTCAATAAGAAACTGAAGGAAGATTCTGTCTCCCTTTATCTTACAAAATAATTTTTTTTTCTCTCCGCAGATTCTTAAGCAAGAGCAAACAAGTTGCACATGTGTAAGCAATATTGAGGACTCGTTAGTTTAGGAACCTTCAGATTCTCTTCTCCAATAAATGTTTCATGGTCTCGGTGGCTGAGCTATATTAATATGACCCTCAACCTTTCTCATCCGGGCTTGGGACCGGCAATGGCGGTTTTAAAAATTTTTTTTATAATATTACTTTTACAAAAAAATTGAATAGTTCTTACAACGCAGAAAAAATTAATGACATAAGAAGAATCAAATTAGAGGGAAGTTAAAATTTTTAACGTATTAAGAAATAAATTGAAAAATATGAAGTATAAATGAGGCATGCTTTAGAAAGTATATCATTTTTCCTACAACAAAATAAATATGACATGAAAATCTCTAACATAATTTACCAAAAAAAAAAATTTAACAATTTGCAAGTTCATAAAAAAAGTAACTTCTAACGAATTGCAAAAACAATATCATTAGTAAGTAAAACATTATCAGTTGAGAAACAATTTGACTTAAATGTAGAAGACATTTGATTTTCATAACAAAAAGAGAAGAGATAATCAACAATTAGCTAACATTTTAGTAGGAGTTAAAACATGTGGCAATTTCCAAAAAAAGTTAATTATTAGAAATAGAAACACAACATAATATTCAAATATAACGAATGTCATCATCTCTAAAAGTTGCTATAACTTGCAATAAAGAGAACTAAAAAGAGAGATAGTGAGAGAGAGACAGACGGAGAAATAAGAAATAAATATCTAGAGTATCAAGAGTTAAATATGTATGTTAAACATGAATAATGATGAAAGTTTAAAGCTCTTCTAATTTGATTCTTTTAGGTTCGATCTCAATAACTTCATCAGATATTTCTTTTATTGATTGAACTGTAATTGAACGAAAGCTTCGATTTCCATATTCTTTATCTTGAACCTTTACTGAGAATATCAGCTCCTTATCACAAATATTTGTGATAATGTTATTATAATCTTCTATATTGGATGCCTATATTAAAAATAAAAAAAATATATATAAGAATATGCTTATATAAGTTATGATATAAATAGAACGACATAAAAAATTTTTTTACCTTTATTTTCTCTAAATTTGTAACTGGCATGCCAATAAGTTGTTCAACTTCATTATCAAAAACTGTAAATATTGCAGTTGAACTAATATCCTCAACACGTAATTTGATAAGATACCTGTAAAAATAATAATTTTTCGAATATGTTATAAAGTTTATATTTTTTATTTCAAATAGGATAATATTATCTAAATGTTTTACCTCAAACTATATTCAGGATTTTCTTTTGAGCATTTTGAACAATTCGCAATACCATCAATAATAGAAATTTTTGATTTACATGTACTGCATGAATTGTACCATAGATTTCCTTCTTGATTAAGTCCTTTTATTACGACTCTTGTGGAGTAGTACTTGACCTGAAATGCATAAAAATTTATTAATAAAAAAGAAAATATAATAATTATTGAAAACATTTATTACCTCTCCCAATGATTGTTCAGATGTGTTGATATTTTGTAGATTTGTCATCAAATATGTATCAGAAACAGATGATATATGTTGATGAATAATTTTATTGGATCTGTAAATTGAAAAATTTCAGAAGTAAAAATAAGGAAAATTAAAATGAAAAGTTAAAGTAAAGCATTAAAAATTTCATACAAATCCAAGAGTTCTTTTGATGATGGCAGATTTGGATTAATTTCTAAAGTTGTTGATTGCGTTGTTGAGAGTATGAAACCTGATATATTATAAAATATGATTAAAGAATGTATAAGATATATATATAACATATAGAGTATGAAACATGTGGAAGTACCATTAAAATTTTTTGCCAATGATGCCTTTTTGCTAGAATGATTGTTTTTCATTTCTTGAATCCTCTATATTGTTTCCTTCAACTGTTGCCAATGCCTTCCCATAAAAGTAAAATGTACAAACTTCCGACCTATTAAAAGAAAAAAAAATATTTATATAAATATATAAAATCTTTTTTTTAAAATAAATTAATATGATTACATACACTAACGTCAACAATCTGTAAATCTCGTTTGACAAATTTTTGGTTTATTCAGTTTGTCTGTAGATCATCTCGCACTTCAGAGAACGTTTCAAAACTAATAAAATGATATCTGTATAAAAAAAATAAATTATTTTTGTTCAAACATTATGTTAAACAGAATAATATAAATTAATGTACCTGACGGAGATTTGGATTTGACTTTGATATCTTCAATTACTTGATAAATTATTTGTGACTGGTTCTATATCATCGGTGATTGCAACTTGTATTTCTGAATGCTGTTTAAAATTATCTCAAAATTTTCATTGACATTATAGAAATCTTTATTTATAGCTTTGATTTGCCCATTGAAAATTATATAAGTCTTTCCAATCTGTAGCATGTTATGAAATTTGGTCAATTGTTTCATTGAAACATGATGGCAATATATTTTTGTTGAAAACCCTGAAAAATTAAAAAAAAAACAAATTATGTTTAAATCATAAATTATTAGCGAGAGTAAAAAATATATGTAAAATTTATTAACCTCTTTATCCATTAAAGTAAGCTTCTGAATCTTTCCTTGCCCAGATTTAGAACATCTTAATAGGTAATTTGATTTAAAGCAAGCAGTGATACTCCGTAACGTGATTTAGATGATACAAATCTTGATAAGATTTGATGATTCCATTAAGTTTAACTTGATAATAAATGAATTACAATTAATAATTAAAATTTATAACAACCTTTAGATAAATATATTATAATTAATAAAATGAAGAAAAAATTATATTTAAATTAAATGTGTGTACATACCTATTGATTATTTGAAGATGTGAAAATCTCTTTATACAACAATTTGTTTGTGTAAAGAACTTGAGATGATGATATATATTTATCTGGTATAATAAGAACCTTTGTTTTGCTCACTTGATATTCCTCTTGAAATGCAACATATAATTGCCCATGTGAGAACACATTATGTGGAGGTTAAATTTCCAACATTAGGAATTGTTTGGCCTTGTGCTTTATTGATAGTCATGCAAAACACAAACGTACTGGAAAGTTGTTTTCGTCTGAAATTAGCAAATGGAAGAGATTATCATCACTTGTACATAATGGAATTGTAGGTATCATAACGTGTTCTGCCTAAGAATTGCCATTGAAATTTGCGCATAATCCACATTATTTTAAGTGATCTGCAAATCTTCGTGTTCCGTTGCACAAACCATTTGAAGGGTCAGATTTCTTAGTAACATTATTGGACAATTTATCTGAGAGTAAGACGATTGAGGAGGAAGTCCTTTGGTGTCAAAGATTTAGAAATTCAACTTTGAATAAGATATAACTATCATCAGTGACACGTCAAAGCTAAAATAAATAATTCATCCCCCAGGAAAAATATTAATAGCTTTTGACTTTAGCTTAATCAACATATTCATTTTTAGTAGCAAAGAATTGACCTTTCCATAATGTATTCTTATGATGAAAAATTTTCGCGTAGGGAAGGAAATATAGTACATTTAATGAATGTTCTGAAGCTTCATTATTGAATATTCATCATCATTTCCATTGTGAATATGAACCAATCCATTCTTCGAATTTCATCTTCATATCCATGCCATTCTAAGAATAAATTCTGAACAAATGATCTGTTCTAGCCCGCATATTTTCTTTTAGCTTGAAAACTTCAATATCTTCCCTAAGTAATGACTTAACCAATGGTTGTGCTAATAGTTTCTGATCTTTGATGCACGTCCTCACACTGGTCAATACTTTATCTGTCGAAGTCACCTCCAAAAACAATAACTTACCACCAAAAGAAATAGAACTATTTCATAATATCTTTCATAGTTCTATCTAAAGTATTCAATTGCTGTTCGTTTTACCATCGGAGCTTCATCCCAGAGTATAATATTGATTGTTTAAGTAAACTGAGCAAGTCCACTTTGTGTATGCACATAATGTTGTTTCTGTTGAATTTATAGGTATTTTGAATCTTGAATGTGCTGTTCGACCTCCAGGCAATATTGATGCGGCTTACTCCTGATGGTACTGTTGCGATTGTCTATAGACCTTCATTTCTTAAAGTTGAAAGAATAGCACGATACAGATAGGGGGGGGGGCGTTGGGTGACGGTGTACAGGGGGGGTGTTTTACCTGTATACCTCCAGGACCATCTAGAAGAACATGCCATGACGTTTTCTGATTAACAATTGATATTTCTTCAAATGCGTTCTGTCTGATTTGTAATTGAAGTGTATTTATCTATATTAAAATCTGCTGGCAGCTGGAGTAATAGACATTTTCGTCTCTTCAGATATTTCTCTTTATTGAGCTCTCAATTTAAAATCATGAAAGATGTCTTGTAGCCAGTCGTGGCAACTTCAGGCAAGTCTCAAAGATCATCGATGGATCCTTCCATTCTTCTCAAGAAATAAGTGACTTATCCAATAAAGTTTTTGAAAACCACAATCATCAACGAAATTATCACTTGATAGGGCTTGAAATCATGAGACAAATCTGTTGTAGTACTCATCCATACATTGAAGAACATTTGTTGGGCTCACAGTAGAGTGTAAAGAATAGCAAATAATTGTCTGAAGTGCATTGGACATTTTTGATATACTTGATGGCATCCATTAAGCAATTCTGATTATTATTAAGTATCCGTTTCCAGTTACATGCATTTTTGCGCAGCTTCTTTAAAAGTTGAGCATTGAATTCATGAAATCGTTAATAAATCAGAAAATGAATATGTTCATCATATCATGAATTTTAACAAAATTCTAGGTAAATAGTGCTTTTCCACCATCTGAGGATTTGTTGTATTATCGGCCAATGTTATATATTATTTCCTCTCTCATATTTTTTTTTTGTTTTATCCCACACATATTTTTGCAGGTTTTCTCTCTACAAAGTACTTCCTTGCTCTGCATCAATTGTATTGCAGATTAAAAAACTAGTCAGCATGGTTTTTTCCATTGCGTTCGTAATAATCAAGCAAATTTTTGTTGTCTTATAATAAAACTGCTTGATGGTCTTCTAAATGCAGTTGTAAATTACACACTGAATGGTACATCTCATTTAAAATCAAATTCAAATTCTCCTAGTGCTTCTGGTGGCTGATACCCATCTGCATCTTGATATTGTTGAATTTCATCAAATTTTTTTCTCCATTATTTGTGAAAAAGCCACCGAAATGTTTATTCATGTCCCTTAATAAATATAACTTATAAATATACTTCACTGCCTTTGATACCGGACAATATCTCACATTTATGTGACAATTATATCTAGAATAATAGATATGGATTATAAGGAACAAACCCAACGATTATCTAGTAACAATCTTACCTTTTAACTTGATGCAATCTTGCTTCTTCGATAATTGGATATGAGTCATCAACATTATAGTTTGGTTTGAGAAGATCTGGATATTTAATCTTTACATGAATCCATTTTCCTCATGCAAGCATTGTTTTTGTTTAAATTCCACAGGGACCATGCCTATGTTTTACAACATATTCCATGTAGACTCTTAATATTTTAAAAGGATCCTGGTAATTCCGCAGAAACCATTCTATGCAAAATGTTTGAGATTGTTATTTTAAAAGCATAATCCAAGATAATCAGAAAAGAG